ACTAACTCCCAACTCCTCTACCTCCAGTACCCCCACCTCCACTACCCCTCACTTAACTAACCCCCACCTCCACTAACCCCAACCTGCACTACCCCAACTGCACTACCCAACTGCACTACCCCAACCTGCACTACCCAACCTGCACTACCCCAACCTGCACTACCCAACCTTCACTACCCCAACCTGCACTACCCAACCTGCACTACCCCAACCTGCACTACCCCAACCTGCACTACCCCAACCTGCACTACCCCAACCTGCTCTACTCCAGCCTCCCCTAACCTCCACTAACCCCATTAAATATAAAGCAGAAAAAATGAAAGTATTAACCCGGTTCTTGAAAAGAAGGCAATATATATACAAAGGAAATATTTAAGTCTATCCAAAATTTTAGCAAAAGCAAAAGAAACAATGAGAAAATTCCAGCAAGCTGTCACAAGTAACAAGAGACATTACTGAAGTAACGCAAGAGTTAAGTAACACTCATGGAGTCGTCGGGAGGAGGAGAAACCTCTAAGTAAATAGCAAGTATCCTGGAGAAGAGGAAGAAGTGGTAGAATAAGAAGCAAATGACATCTCTGGTCTCCTAGTGGTGCCAGAAGTCTTCAAATTGAATTCATTATAATTAGAACTATGCCAGTGATGCAATAAATCTCTCAAGAGTGAACTATCATCAATTCCATGGGGAAGCAGTGAATCCAAAGGGCCATACTGCGCCTGGGAAATGGGAAGTAATCAGGTTTGATCCAAGGAGGGAAAGCTTCAATTCCTTGGATCAAGAGCTTTTCGCCACTTTTGTCCCAATAGTATCATAGGTAATCAGTCTTGATGAAGCTAAAGTAACTCATTGTAAACTTTATTATTGTTTTTTGCAAGCAATTTCAAGGTGCCTTATGTTCTCGTGTCGTTAACCGGAACCAGGTTTGCTCTGTTCACTAGCTATTAGCCAGGCTGTTGCTGTTTATAGGATGTATAATCATCACAACCTAACTTATCAAGCTTTTCCTGAGGTAAATTAAAATGCAAATGGTGTTACCGAAATTATTTATTTTATCTGGCAATATTTAATAGGTTGCAAAACATCAGACGTCTTATACCTAACATTTTGTGCCTGTGCGTAATAGATAAAAAAATAAATAGTTATTATTGCCCACAAAAGTTATAAAATAAAAATTAAATGGTTCTTCGGACATATGTAAATTAGCAGAATGCAACTAATAAATATTTCTTGAAGAGGAAAACACAAGACTCATAAAATGAAAATATCTGGAACATTTAGCTAGAGTTAAGAGACTTCTTGACAGCAGATTCAGGCTGCCAGTTCCATAAAACTGCTGATGATAGATTATTACTGGGCCGAGCTACGTACAGTATGTACAGCTCTTCACTGCTCTTCCAGCAGCAACTGATTTTTTTTTAAACTATTAAACATAAATTGGGTTACTCAGTATTGAGTCACTTCCCAATTCTATAAAGTTTCTTTGACACATTCCACCAGCATGGGGCTGATAGAACCCCACTGAACTTGGACAGCCTGAGTTGGGCGCTTCTGTAAGGCAATGAGGATGTCGTCAAGTATTCCAGTAAGGGTTCATCAGCTTCCAGGTTTCGTTCCAGCAGAGTTACTTTCACTTGGGTATTACCATCTCTCAGGATAGTCTGACTATCCCGTGCAGTAACTGATGACGGGAGGAGGGAGAGTTTTTTAATTTTCGTATTAATGAAGACTTTTAATTTGGCAAGTTTTCCTTTGGCAAGTTTCTACCGCTAAGAATTTATTTTATGTCTATACTCTATTTTATTTTGATATAGTCACTGATGGAAATGGGAGGCAAGATGTAAACAGGCACACGGCCATGAATTTCTTAGTTTTCCAAATGTGTACCTACTTCTTAAAATTCATTTCCACAGAATGGGTATATACCTGAAAGCTGACAGCTGTTGCTACCATATTATGACGATGTTCTAAGATGTAGTTGTGATATCTGAATAGTCTTCCTCCAGCTTTATATGTAGATGATCTTCCCCTCAATGAATGTGCCTTGATGCCGATGAGATCTTGATTTAGGGAATGGAACTTAACCTCGCCTTCTTTGGATTGAACCTGAATGCCTCCCATTGCTCCAGACGTGACTCCTACTGGTTTAGCGTACTTACCTATTTGTACTCACCTATTTGTGGTTGCAGGGGTCGAGTCCTAGCTCCTGGCCCCGCCTCTTCGCCGGTTGCTACTGGGTCCTCTCTCTCCCTGCTCCATGAGCTTTATCATACCCCGTCTTAAAACTATGTATGGTTCCTGCCTTCACTACATCACTTTCTGACAACTCTTTGACTGAAGAAATACTTCCTAATATCTCTCTGACTCATCTGTCTTCAACTTCCAACTGTGACCTCTTGTTTCTGTCCCCTCCCTGGAACATCCTGTCTTTGTCCACCTTGTCAAAGACAGGATGTTCCAGGGAGGGGACACAGAAACAAGAGGTCACAATTGGAAGTTGAAGACACAGATGAGTCAGAGAGCAGTTAGGAAGTATTTCTTCTGTCATAGCGTATATGGTCTTGAAGGTTAGTAACAGTAGGGAGGGTTATGAGCCTTAAATTAAAATCTTACACTGCTATGTAAAAACAATTTGGTGATCCTAGCATGTCTTCGTCCTCGAGTGACCAAGATAAAGCAAAAGATTAGAGAAAAACAGAGATTACCAGCTAATCAAGGCTTCATTAAGATTCGATTGGCTTCAGATTTTCAGTGTTGGTGTATTGTAACTCGGGAAAGATTCATGCAACTATTGGCATGTTCAGGGGCTCTCTGTTCAATGATATTTAGATATTGCAGATTTTGGCTTGAGGTAGGTTTTGACTGGCTTAAGTTTTCAACACTGCTGTATAGTACTTAGAAGGTTGGGTGCTGTTACTGGCATGTGTAGGGTGAAAATTTGTGAATTTTATTGACAAATTATGTCCCTTTTCAACCGGTTTAAATCTTTGACTGAAGCATCATATGCACAGGATAAAACTGTAAGCTTAGGATATTACATAAAAAAATTCTTATTTCTTAATATAGAAAATAAACTTGGAATGGTCGATTCTGAGCAAAAACTGGAGAATGGCTTCTGATAGGCTGCAAACTTTCTGATATTGGGCTTTGCTAAAAGAAAGGTTTGCATTAACTTTAAGATCTGTAGGTATATATATTTTTTCTCAATTTTTATGAGACAAAGTGGTTTCCATGTTATAACTAGATAATATCTCTTTATCTACTGTTCCAACCTCTGATTTTGGTGCATCTTAATTATTAGATTTGCTTGGTATAAATTTTGACTGCTTAGGTGCCAATTTTATTAAAGTGTGAAATTTGAAATATTTTTCATGTGATGATTTGTAAATACCTCGACTAGTCGGCCGACTAGTCGAGGTATTTACAAATTTTCAAACTTTCAATGCTCGTCTGTCTTACTTAAGGGAAACTTTGGATTGTTATTGGACGGTGTAAATGGCAATTCGCAAAATGTTGCGTCATCCCCTTACACTGCCTTTGCCTCGTATCTCATAGAAAATATGCTAATGCCATTTTTTTTTCTATCACATGTTGTGTTTATGGAATTGTAGAGAATTTTAAATAAAATGAAACTGAGACATGCTGGAAAAACGAGGTTTTATGGCGCTTTTCTGATTCGCGAGTTTAGCGAACCCCAAATTTTTGACTACCGTCCACAGGATGGGTATGAGGTGCATAATAAGCATATTAACCTAATTTACCCACAAGGGTCATACAGCTTACAGCTAACAAACTTTGATTTTTTTAATTGTGTAGGATAGCTCGTGAATATATTTTCTAGTCAGTTCAGCATTTTAGCACTTGTGTTTTAGGTTCGGGCAGAGGGGGCGTTGACCCCCTGAAACCACCTCCAGGTATACTTCAATTATCCAGCTATACATTTTAAAAGCTGGGGTAATATAGTTAGATACATAAGTAATTATCCTTATTAATTTCACTTTGTACAACTGATTTCTACTGTTACACCTAGACTTTAAGATATTACATGGAGCCCAATGGAAGTAAGTCAGTTAAGTAATTTACACACGTTATTAGGTATGATAATTGTACTTACCTGGAGAGAGTTCCGGGGGTCAACGCCCCCGCGGCCCGGTCTGTGACCAGGCCTCCTGGTGGATCAGAGCCTGATCAACCAGGCTGTTGCTGCACCTGTACCTAAATAAACTTATTAATTTTGCATACATTGAGGTAGATGGGGCTGGGCTTATGATAGTCGTGGAACCTTCTGTCTGATCACGCACCGACCGAAATACATCTAGTTAAAACTATGATAATTAGAGTAAAGTTCTCTGGGAAGAATGTTAATGTTGTATTAATAATAAGGTTGATTGTTCTGGGGGTGATAAGTAGAGAGTAGGAATAAACCCGTAGGGGCTTAATTAAGCCTAGTCATTTACTAGGAATTATTAGCGGGTAGTGAATATATTATAGACCTGGTCTGAACCTCCCATCATTGAGTGAACCAGACGAATTTTGACTTTAAACTACAAAACACCCGATATTAAGAGATATATAATATTTCATATTCTTTCGATATATCTCATTACATTTCGAGTTGTAGACAAGTGTAAGATTCTACAACATAATATAAATAATTTATACCCGTCATCACTTCTAGTGAACTATAGTCTGAAAGATTAAGTAATCATAGGTTACTGTTAGGTGGTAATTATATAAAATAACGGAATTATAGGGTTTTCCATATAATTTAAACCTCCAACTGTGTCAGTGATGACGTCAAATTATTTCCAAATTCGCTGGTTGATATTTAAAGTAAAAATTCGGGTTTTAGGGAGATGTGGGACGATTTTATTGAGATGGGTTATGGTAAAAAAGGGTCAAAATAGGTAGTAAAGCGGGAGGTATAAGTAAAATATGGGTGAATTAATGCAAAAGACGAGTGTGTGGTGGAGTGAGAGTGCAAGGGGGGGAGTGCCAGTGCGTGCGCGCGCACACACATCTGTCACTCGTGTGTGCCACAGAGTATCGATTTTAGACCAGTGTTCAGTTGGATACTGTTCATGCCACGAGTGGAATATGTATCTTAGTGTGTAAGCCTTGATTGAGTTATCGCGTCAGTGTCAGTGAGGTTGAGAGAGAAGCAAAGATGACCAAGGACAGGCTAGCAGCGCTCAGAGCCGTGAGTATTACTTTATTGTCGTCTGCTGCCTTCACTTACCTCAATATGGCTCCTTCTACCTTCTACCTCACTCATACACGCCCCCTCTACCCTCTGTCACGCCTCCATTACACTCCCACGCCCCTCATGTACACTTTCACCAGTGTGTACCTTTAGTGGCACTGAAATTAGTGCCACTAGAAGTGAAACTATAGTCAGGTTTCCATTGTGGCACTGTGCCTTACTCTCACCCTTTACCTTACAGTAACCCATTTAACCCCTCAAGGAAGGTTCCTTGACGCTGGTGAGGGGCTCTTGATCTAGGGAATTGGATCTGTGCTCCAGTTCCCTGAATTAAACCTGAATAACTTCCACATCCCCCCCCCAGAGGCGCTGTATAATCCTACGAGTTTAGCGCTTCTCCCTTAATTATAATAAGAAGTAACCATTTCACAAATTAACATTTCACTCATTAATATTTACTTTCAAATGTCTGGTAAAAGAGTTAATATTAAGAAGAAGAGATTCCTATAATCTCAGTGGCACTCCTTCCATACAAAGTGGCACTCTTCTTCTACACTCATTGTTAGTGCCAATAAAAATGCCATGATGAATAAATGCCAGATAACCTTCAGTTTTATGTAATAAATTCGTGTTAATATACCTGTTTCTTGCTGCCAAAATACTCTACATACTTTTAGTAAATCATATATTGGAGATGAATGTTATATCAGTAGATAACCTCAAATATCACTTGTTCTTGCCACTGTTGGCTTTAATTATGCCTTAAACTGGAATTCACATTGCGAAATAAATATTTAGATGTGCAATTATTAGTCAAGATAAAATTATTAATGAAGATAAAAGTTTTGAGTATAACACAAGAATAATTAATTGTTAAAAATGTCATATTTCAGGTTGAGAATATATAAATTTGTAATGTTTTAATCATTTGTATCAAACTTGTAAACTAACATTGTTTTCAGTACCAAACATATTATATTCTATCCATTATTGACTAAGTCTCTGATGACTGTAGGCTTTTTGGTGAAGGGGTCTTGATCCAAGGAATTGGAGCTACTCTTCCCTTCCTTGGATCAATGATTATTACCTTCCATTTTCCCAGCTCTATGTAACCCCCTATATTTTTGGCACTTCAACCTGGTGATAATGCCATGGTGAATACCAGTTCATCTCAAAAATTATGTAAAATGGGTACATGTGGAGCAATGTGTTATTATTATGTTATTTCCAGAATGTTCCTCTTATGTTTGACTCTCATAATGAAGTGTGCAATTGTATAGTTCATCATGAATAAGTGGTAACATTTTTGGCAGCAAAACAGTAAGTTTGGTATGAGCACTGCCTCTCTTCTTGGTATGCTGGTAACTGAAGGCATATAATTATTGTCTTAACTCCTCTATATGACATTTGAAAGCATGGATTATACATTTTTAGGGTAAAATTATTGTGTGTGGGGTATAAATCTGAGCTGATGAAAATCGATCATGTTCAACCTATTTTTAGCCTGGCGTATTTAGCAAATTGTATGCGAGCTGTGGAATTAAGAATAGGGCATTAATTTAAAATTTTGTCAAAGTAAATTTTGATGATCCTCGTATGTATTTGCTGATAAATGTAATGTGTGAATAAGTTTCGCAGAGTGACAAAATGGGTGGGGTTCATTAGGACAGTTTTGTGTAAGAATTTTTTTTCTTAATTATAGTACATATACGTATATAAAATATTCAGCCTGTCTTCATTTTATTTTGCCAATTTTTTGTGGTACTCGGCATTCAATTTCTTTATGCTTTAGAGAGGTAAGATAAGATTTTGTTTGGATTTTTAATGCCAGAGGATTTAAATTTTGTCCCCCATGATGCGACTCACACCAGTTAACTAACACTCGGATACCTACTTGCTTGCTAGGAGAACGGGACAACATGTGTAAGGAAATATGCCCAATGTTTCCTATCCTTGCTGGGAAATCCTAGAGGAATTAGTACCAAACATGCACACGAACCATGGACACTCAGTGTGTGAAGTGAGTGTCGCCTACCAGGCCACGGGCCACCTGCTACCTGATTTACGTTATTTTAAAAATCCTAAGTTAATTTAGATTAGGTTACATATGAATAAAAAATATATATCTAAACAAAAGTGAGCAAATAAACAAAATGGCCTTATGTCTGACAATGAAGAAGCTGAGAAGAAAGCAGGCAGCATTCAAATCTGTGTTTATCACTCATAATAATAATAATAATAATAATAATAATAATAATAATAATAATAATAATAATATCTTTATTTACTACAAGTACATGTACAAGGTATACAGGCCTAGCTGACATCACTGACCTGGTGGCCTGGTAGCTAAAGCTCTTGCTTCACACACAGAGGGCCTGGATTCAATTCCCGGCGGGTGGAAACATTTCGACACGTTTACTTAAACCTGTTGTCCTGTTCACCTAGCAGCAAATAGGTACCTGGGTGTTAGTCGACTGGTGTGGGTTGCATCCTGGGGGACAAGATTGAGGACCCCAATGGAAATAAGTCAGACAGTCCTCGATGATGCACTGACTTTCTTGGGTTATCCTGGGTGGCTAACCCTCTGGGGTTAAAAATCCGAACGAAATCTTATATAGAAAGACGTTTGTTATTCAGAGCATTTCGGGCAAATTAAGTAAGTTTTGTCCCAGGATGCAACCCACACCAGTCGACTAGCACCCAGGTACCTATTTTACTGATGGGTGAACATAGACAACCGGTGTAAGGAAACACGTCTGATGTTTCCACCCCTTTGCCGGGAATCGAACCCGGACCCTCACCTTGTGAAGCGAGAGCTTTTGCCACCAGGCCACGGGGCATGCACGTGGAAATGGGTCACATTACTGTACGTATTGTAATTTTTTGGACTTGGTTCTAATAAACATGAAATACTAAACCATACCACGGGCGGGGATAGAACCCGCGATCAGAGTCTCAAAACTCCAGACCGTCGCGTTAGCCACCGGACCAGCTAGCCACAATAAGATTCGTCCAACTAGGTATATTTCTACACCATAGGAAGGTTAGCATAGGCACCACTGTGACCACAAATGCAAGTTTTTACAGATGAATCTCCAGCTAGCGTGGCCGTGATGAACTCTAGCTCAAGTCCCCTCAAAGCCATCAACATGACTCTCACGAAATCGTAATGACACGATGGTATGGTTTGTTTGCAATTGTGTCATTACGATTTCGTGAAACATGAAATACTGTTTGTCCCCTAAAAAGAGCTTGATTGAGAATTTTGCCTTTCATATCTGTAATTGTTTTACACACAGCAAGAAATTATTTTATAAATAAAAGTAGGTGTATTTCCATTGGGGCATTTTATTAAAATACCCCAATGGAAATAAGACTTGTCGTTTGATGACACTTAGAATATGAGTTATCCTGCATTACTTATGTGCTCCAGGTTAATAATCCAAACATTTATTTTCATGTGATATTGGGCATTAGGATACCAAATTGTCATGCTGTGTACATTTATACGTAATGTTATTTTATTTAAAAGTGAAGTATGTGGATGTGTGCTCCAGTGGGGTGCAGTTCTAAAACATATTAAGTTGCTGTTTTTGATTTTCACTCTAACAATATATGTGGTTCTGGCTAAGTTTCTGTTGCAGTAGAGCTCACTTTTTTTTTTTTCCCCTAACCTTACCAAAGGATTATGGATGAACTTTACAAGTTCATACTGAGAATTTCAGAGATTTTGGTGGGATTCTACAATGACTAAAATCCCATCTAACTTGACATATCAGTGTTTCAAACAAACATTAAACTTAGTTTATAAAAAATCTAAACATCTGTATTATACTGAGATTCAGTGAGATACAAGGTGAAATAAAAAAAATTCTGGGAAACTTTTTCAAATATTTGGGTCATGTAAATCTATAAACACTAAAAAAATTATACTGACTAGACCAAATTGCTGAAACAGTAAATAAACTTAGCAACTTTTTGACTGTAAACTAATCTTGGTACCAAAATCCTAAACATGCTTGCCCAGGCTAGAGATTACTTGAGTGACAGCTGTTGATGCTCCCTCTACCTAGCCCCAACTAATTCTGCAGAGGTAACCTAAATACTAATTTTGTTCAGAAGCAAAGCAGGAAACAAGGCAACTATTCTGCCATTCATAAGACTCGCAAAATCATAATGACATGATTGCAAACAAACCACAGTATGGGTGGGGATTGAACTCATGGCTATCAAGTTGTAAAACTTCCGACTGTGATCTGCCATTCATAAATAAGAAAGCTTCTCATGTATTGTATCTCCTATCACTGCAACTGTGTTTAACTAATCACTAGAAACTGAAACCTTCTCAAAATTACTTAAGTTAGCACTTGTTACACCTATCCATAAAGGTGGAGGCCTGGCAGACATAACTATAACCAGTTTCCAACTTTTTATCTGAAATCTTTGAAAAGTTAATAAATAAGAAAATTAATGTGTTCATAACAACTGTAGTCAGTGAGGAGCTTGTAAAGATATCTACTTGAATAATTGTCAACACACTCTCCATATTGATATGACCTACATATTGTTTGAGAATAAAGCTAAAAAAAAAAAAATACTTGGTTTAGCATAAAAATCGATAATTCACTCAAAGATGAGTTAAAATTATTAGGTATGCACCATGGCTGCAGCCTAAAATTCAACACTGATCCAACATGTATCTAAGAAATCTTCTAAAACTATAGCATTCTCTAAAAAATACACTGCTGCATACAGCAAGCAGTGTTACTTGCTCTTTTTCACTTTTTAATGTACCCCTTCCTCATGGGTATCTACAACAGCAAATTGCATAAAGCCTGTCCTTACTCAACAAAAATCAGGTATTAGAATGATCATTCAAGCTTATTCCAGACAGCGCATACCACCATTAATCAAGTCTAAATGCACTTAACAAAAAAAAAAAAAAAAAAGAGGTATGACAGAGTACAGCCTCTCCTCACTTCATGACGGAGTTC